GTGTTCAAACATTGACTGAATAAATATGACTGTTCAACAAAACTCTTGTTTCTTCTCACACACCGATTTGCCTTCGCAGACACATTATCAGAGCGTGATCTCAAATGCATATTTAAGTAGTTTCTTTGTATCTGAGTCGGTGTTTGTGGTGTCAGGCGTCTTACAGCGGCGGCTGCCATATGTCCGTAGAAATAGGTGAACCTGTAGGGATGCACAGATGCTGCGTTGGCCAGGAAGGCGGTCAGATAGAGGACTGTGGCTATGCCGTGATACGCCATCACCTAGCAAGAAAAGAGAAGGAACATTAGTCACATTTTCCTCAGAGCTTCTCTGTTGCACTCAGGTGGTGAATGCTGGAAAACATATTTTTCTGGCAGAATCAGAAGAGTTTTGGTGATTTCACATGACAGATTTCTGCCTGTGATCTTCTCACTGGTTTGAAGAAGCAATGTGGTGATTAATATTTATACAGATATACTTGAGATTTGAAACCAGCTTTTTCAAGGCCAGAAAGTGCTACATAAGAGATGTGATCCCTGGAATAAACAGCAATTTTAGAATTAAAGTAACACTTTAATTACTGGCATACAGAAATCTCCCTCCCTCTTTGTTCTGGTTGTGTAGACTCTGGGAAAAAAAACAATTTCCCTGCCATCTGAAAGCAGTTTCTACTGCGGGCAAAACAAGTCTCAGAACCTTTCTTTCATTCCACTCCCACCCTTGTTTCCCTTCCCTCCTTCTCTCCTCCCCTCATCCCTCCCTACCGTCAGGGGCCAGGGGACAGCGGATAGGTTTTGCTGGGCTCCGAACAGGATCATGAAGAAGAGGATGGTGGTGAGGATCCACAGGGTGATGGCTACAAACAGCACCCATCCATACGCCGGCAGTGCCGTGTAGGGGGCGCTGGCTATCAACGCCCACTGAAGCATCCCCAGAAACTAGAGAAGAGAGAGAGAGAGAGAAAATGAGACAGAGCAACTAAGAAGTGCAGCTTAAAGATGTAACATTTCTGCATAGTCGCCTGTCAATGGCGAGTCATCACAACTCATCCTGAGGGGAACATGAATGTGTGAACCCAATTTTATGGCAACCAATAGTAGTGGACCTCTTTAACACATTTCCCATAAACAATGTAAGATATAGAGAGTGACAGCATTCTCACTAAGGCTCCTGTTTGCTTAAACCAGAGACAGAAGCCAGACGTTGTAAATATTTGGGGCTTAGCACAGACCCAGAGGCCGTTTTTTTCCTATCAGCAGCAGCTTTATGCGCTATTTTATAAGCCAGTCGGGAAAAAACACAATAGTCAGGATAGTTAGATAGGAAAAAAGTGATGTATAGTCATCCTTTTTTGTATCTAATTATTCTCAAGCTGTCTTCCTCACACTAAAACCAGAACACAACAAAAACTCATCTTTTTCTACCACCTATAAAGAGGCAAATTTTAACTTTTAACTAACTTAAGTTACTGTATTGACAGAATGAATGTGAATCCATGCCATAGTACTCCAATCGATGCCTATACTTTCCCTTGTGACCAAACTTTTTATCCATCGATTTGCCAGTCAGGTTCAGGGCATTTGAGAAAACATTCTGGGCTGGAGCCTGAAAAGCTACCGCCGCTGCACTGACCCCGGTTCAAAGTACAGTCACGTCTATCTAAAACATCATCCAGACAGAAAACCGCACAAGGCTCCTCTCTTTGTTGCTGGGTGTCTGTTTCTATCCCACGAGAAAGGACAGCCTATTATGGATGCAGAGATCAGGTTTCACTTTTTACACACCTGATACACACACACACACACCAACCACACACAATGTTGACCTTTACAAAGCACCTACATTAACAAAGACTTCTGTTCTGAACTAGAGGAACAGAAGATAACCTTAACTTCCTGACTGTAAAATGTCATCCATAACTTTGTTCACATCCAGTACATGTTTAAGATTATATATATTATATATATTAGCCAGTGGGTGAAATAAAGTCAAATTTTTAGCATTTTGGGTAGGTTTAAGAATCTTTTATGCACTCTACAACAGATGGGTTTTATAATGCAGTATGCATGGTGCATGTTGTTTATTAATATAACATAAGGAGGTGGAAGTTTAAAACAGGAAACCAGCGTCTCTATTATTTTAACACTGCAGATTAATGAATGCAGTGATGTAGAAAGGAAAAATGTTTAATAACTTTTCTGGTACTTTTTTGCCCCTTTTTACCGTTTTTGTATTGTTGTTGCTCGAGTTTGCGTAAATGATGTTGCCGCACACACACACACACACTCTACTAACTGGAGGTTTAGTGAAAATTTTGATGTTACATAAGGTGACATTTAGCGATGCGGTCAACAGATTTTGGCATCAATAATCCTTCTAGGAAACATCTTACTGTATTCTCAGGCCTGCATGGCAAAACACACACACACAGTATAATGGGTTTTGGAGGCACCTGGTGATTGACACTGGGGGTTTTGGACACCCCGAGTTTCAAATTTGAATCTGACATGAAACAAATCTGTCTATTTTTAGCCCGGAGGAAGCTGCGATGTACAGCCATTCAGCAAGGAACTTCAATTAACTGTTAAACATGTCCAAACGGGAGGCAGCACAGTCTCATATCAGCTGTCATTAAATCTAACACTGATTTCTGTGAGTATAACTTCATGGCAGGACAAAATTAAAAGATTCCCTTTTTCCAGACACGATTAATATCGTTGGACACAAATGGTTTCCATGAAAAGGCCCCTTATTTTTTTTTTTTTTTTTTTTTAAAAAAAAAAGCAGCTACTTCATTCTTAACTTCATTAAAAACTTGAACTGTATTGTATTTAGTTCAAAGATACTTCATGGAGGTAAAAGAAGCGATCACTCTGTACAACTCTTGAGCCGTACCATTCTATCAGTGAACTTTCATTCATACTTTCATGCATATATCATTAGGAGTTTTGAATAAGTATCTTCAGTATTCTGATAAGCTAGCTAAGCAATAAAAAGTAAAGGTAGGCAAATCTAGAAGGCTACAGCGTTTCCCATTTTTAAAAGTGTACCGTAGAACGTCGAGACAGCGTGCCCGATACGATATTTGTAATCGAAAACATGTATTCTGGCCCAGGTTATAGATAAGCATCAGAACGGACTCAGTATCAGAGCAATGCCAAATTAATAAAGGACTAGGAATGGGGGAAAAAAAAAAAAAAAAAAAAAAAAATAAAAAAAAAGTTTCGCCACAATTTTTTTTTTTACTTGTTGCCAAAATACAATTGTCATCAGCACAAAAAAGAGCAATAAACCAGTTAAGATAGTATCCTGTTTACCACTTATTGAACAACTAAAAAAGGCAAGGAGCTCATTCAAGCTTAAAATCCATTTATCTTGGTGATAAGGCTTTAGCAATGGGAAACCGGGACCGTATTGGAATAACGCCAGCAATAGAGTTTCAAACCATTAGTATTAAAGTTACATTGGATTAACAGAAAAAATGTATCTTGCACAGACCCAAAGGGCCAAACTTGTCTTTTCCAGCTTTCAAATGTTGAAAAAATGTTGCTTTTTTCTTATTGTTGGACAAGAACACTAAAATAGTCTAAAATGAGTTTTCTAGGACCGTTAGAGAAAAACCATTTGTCACCTTAAGGCCTTGGGAAGTTTACACCATTTATCAGCATTTTCTCACATTTTCATTAGAAAATAAATTAAACAAATATAGAGAATTGATATGCGATGTATCAGTAATGATTATTATGTGTGAAACCCCACATATTGAACAGTTAAGTTTTCGTTCCATTCTGCTGCATGATAGTGACACGCAGCAGCTTCTTTTCTTTCTGTATCCAGTTTATTCTACTCATCCATATTTCCTGTCTGCAGTATTAGTTAATTACTTTAGCTATATAGAGTGAAGAGTTGAGATCATTGACAGTTAAAAAACATTAAACAAAAACGATCCAAAACGATTGCAATAAAACCCCATTACCAGTTAGAAACAGGAGACCGAACAGACCTACAAATGTGCACCCTGCGACTCTCATTCGACTATACGCTCCCTGAAACATCTCCTCCTCTGACCGTGTGACCAGTAAAGCATAGCAGGGCGTAATAACAAATTGTTGCTTATTGTAATCCTCTTCACGTCAATTAAAAACTTGGAAAGCCACACGACAGCTGCCAGAGCGAGACTTCGGAGGCGGCGTGGGGGATCGAGGGAGTCAGAGGAGATTCAGAGATGGAAAGCAGAGCAAGATAGAGCGGTGGGAGGGAAAGAAATAGAAGAAAAAAAAGGGAGCCGGGGAATAGAAAAGTTGCGGTCTTAAGATAAAGATACAGAAAGTAAAGTGACGTGAGATAGAAGAGATCAGAGACAGGAAGAAGCGCGACTGAGATGCGAGAAAGAGTAAAGAATCCCAGGAGGGGATCAGGCCTGAAATTACCCTCCTCCCAAATATAGTTTACTGTGTTGATAAGCCATTGTGAGAGGCCATGCAACAGCCGAAGGCTTTCAATTTGATTAGCCACATTTATACTGCCAATTTTTGGTTTTAATTGCAGTTATTGGCTCGTCAATTTCCCTGCTACGCTTGATGAGGGCACGCTAAGCCCCGACCCCACAACTGCCATCAGGCTGTGCGCCGATTGCTTTTTATATATTACCAACAGGAAGAATCCCCTGACCATTCCTGTGGGTCAGATCTGTGTGTGTGCCTGTTCTGTACCTTGTGTTGTGTGTGTGTTCCCATTATACCTGCCAATCGGAATAGTGGTTAGATTGTAATTTTCAGTTTTTTACTGCTGTTTGGCATAATCAAGTGCAAGTGTTGTCTGCCAGAACCTGATCATATCATTGAAGCTGGTTTTACCTTTAAAAGCTAGTTTTCGGGGGGTCAGAGTATCTATGCAACTAAATCAAACTAGTGATGGTAGAGCATGGTGTGTATTGTGTGATGTATATATGGTAATGCTTTCTATTGCGCGCCTTGCCCACTCAGGCACAGCACAGCTGACCCTATGCACTGCCTAGTCACAACACCACACATCCCCATAATACCGACGGCAGTGGTGAAGGATTCCATTTTGTAATTATTCACAGAACAAGCTGGCTAACGTTAGCAGCATCGGCTCGCAGCCCTCCGAGGGCCTTTGTCTTCCAAGGTGGGAGAGCAGTGATTTTTAAGGTGGAATGCTTTTTTCTGTGTGTTTGTGGTTTTATCAGAGGGGTTCTGTTTTTTTTGGAGAGGGAGGAGCCCTCTGTGTATATTGGGTCCCTGGTAGTAAACTCCTGAACCAGACACTGAAGGAAATTTCCTAAACCGGAGAAGCTTTGCTTTCAGTGACTCATGGTGGGTAGGACACAATCCCATTGGTCACCGACACTGCTTCACACTCATCAAACCTAGTTTTTTGTTATTGTTTCGATGTGATAGCCAATACAGCAGAAATTTATGATTTGTATGTTGTAAAAATCCTAGAACTATTCAACTTTAACATATCAGTGTTCCTGCGCCGAATGAGGTAAAGGTGTTTTTTAAACTTTCTCTCTCCGGAAACTAGACTCGC